CACTGAACCTCCCCACCACAGACAGAGGAACACAGTCATTCGCCTGAGGGTCACCATTGACAAGATACAAATTGGATAAGTCACAAAATACCGTAGTTAAATGAGGTCATGGGCTGGGAATTCCAAGGTAGTGATTTATCACCTGATTTCTCAAATCCTTTCCCCTAACTACAAGGAAAATGTCAGTGATATAATGGAACATTCCCCACTTGCCTGGATGAGTGTCATTCCAACAACATTAAAGAAACTAAACACCTCTCAGGACAAACAAACTTGTTCAATTGGCACCCCATTCACCATTAAATGCATACAACATCCCTGGTATACCTTGCAAAAAGTGTATCCCTATGCATGTTGTATTGCAACAACTTGCCAAAATATTTCCCAACATCACCTTCCAAACCCCAATTCTGCCACCTGGAAGGCTAAGGCACATGACAACACTACCACCTGAAAATTCCTCCCTAAGTTGCATACCACCCTGCCTTGGAATATATTGCTGTTCCTTCTTCTTAGTGGGTTGAGATATTGGAGCTTTCTACCAAACAGCACTAAGAGTACTTACATCATTTGACCTGCAGTGGTCCAAGGTGGTGATTCAAACACATCTTTTCAAGGGTAATAAGGGATAATCAAAAATTGTCAGCCTTGTTGGCAATATACACATCCCATGAATGAATAAAAAACAATATGAAAGCTGTGCATCCTACATTACAACACTTCAAATGTGTCTTATTGGCTGTAAATCAGTTGGAGATAAGCTGAGGTTGTGAAAGTGCCATATAATTTTTCTGATTTTTTATTTCTAGCTCTAGCTCAATTACCTTTCCTGCTGCACATTCAGATTAGACCTTGAACTCTGCTTTTTACCCTGCATCATGTAAGTGTGAATTGCAGCAATTTGCCATATTTGGAATATTTTCTGTCTGTACGTTTACCTCTCCATTCTACTGCCAACATTCTCATTAATGTTTTTATTATTGCATGGACTGATTTCTAAAATTAGTTAATGCAAATCTCTCTCATACCCATACCAGCCACTGTCAAGCATCATTGGGCTCCAAGTCTGTCAGCATTTCCAAATCTTCATCTTCAAAGCCTAAAGTCTCATTGCAAGTGATTCCAGTGATCTCTTGCTGTAGTTCCCAGATCTCTACCCCTCTAACTCCAACTCTGGTGCTTATGCTTTCTTCGATGATTTAGGTCTGAAAATTCAGTTATTATATCCTTGTATTTTGAAATTATGTATTGCTTCTTCTTTTACCTTCCATAAAATAAACTACTTGCCCATATGTTTTTATAACTCTGGTCTTCCCTATGTTTTCTATCTTTGCTCAGCATCTCTTCTGCTTGTAAAAAATTATTACGTTATAAAGAATAATCAGGAGTGCTTCTAACATGATAATATACTTTTGATGTACATAAGAAATGTGAGCAGGAAGAAGTCATATGCCCCAGTAGATTGCTTCACTGTTCAACAAAATGCTGCTGATCTTTGACCTCAATTCCTCTTTCTCACCCTCTCCTCATAACCTTGTTCCCTGGTACAGAAAAAACAATAGTTAAATTTTTTTTTTAAATTGCACCTTTGAAATGGAGTCATTTAACTTTTTAAAACAAATAAACCTTTGTTGAGTTCAGTAATGTTTACATATTTTCATCAGTTGAGAAATTTTGTAGGTTTTACTTAAAGTTAAAGTTAAGGATCTTATTCGATTCATTAGATTTGTCCAATACTCGGGCAAGAATATTTGTGATGGCATAGTAGGATTGTTGCGTGAGTTCTGGAAGGGCTTGTGTGGGTCTACACTTATCTTCAAATCGGATATAGAAGCTCCCTGGGAAAATGATATTTTGTTTTAATCTTTTAATTTGTAAAAGCAGTAGCAGTCAATGCTCGGAGATGCAGCTATGGTCAGTACATTTCATGAAATAATGATGATCACTTTGAAGAATTAACAAATGCGACAGAATTTATGTACTTCTATTGAGTGGCAGTATGTAATCAATTAATAGAAATAATGAGGTTACTGAGCCCTCTCCAATGATTTATTTTCCCTTCGCTCTCTAAGGATTTCTCCCTGCAACCATCAATGTTCTGACACTAGCGCAGTACGAGGCACAAATTACCATGGTTATACTGATAACAGCTCTAATTAGCTCATTATAGGAAGGCCACAGGTCATTGCCTCAGAGTTTGCCATCATAAAAAGAATGCGATTTATTCTTTCTCAGTTGAATCACAAGATGAAATGATCCCAAGATAAAGTTAGCAGCTTATAATGAATGATCTTTAACTGTACTTCAAAAAAAAGTGCTTTTTGACAGTTCCTGTCAGGTAAAATTATTATAAGTGGTCTCTGAAGAATAGAATATGAACGAATGAATGCAACATATTGTGGAGATTCTGTCAAGTTTTAAGGAAAAATGCACAGGTGCTTCCTCCAGCCTGCTTGATTTTATTTTTAATGCCCAGTTGATCAAGGGGTCCAGGGTTACCGATACAGATAAACCTTAGCAATTTTTACCTGACGGGTAAAGCTAAAATAATACATGTTTTGCTAAAAGAAAACCATGAAGTATAAAAAAGTTAAATCAAAAAAGCCTGACATTCTTCCAGATCCACCACAAGCTCTACCCACGCCATTCCTCTCCTTAGGTTGAACCAGATTGTTCAATGTCTTGGCATCATATTGTATCATGTTGAAACCAAGCTGACCTTCCTACCACATATCCATACCATCAGTAAGCCTGCATACATGTGTTTCCACGGCTCTGCTTCAACTCACCTGCTACTGAAACAGTCACCATCGCCTTTGTTGCCAATACATGTGACTATTCCACCTGATCTGACTTCTATTTTCCACCCTGCACAAAAAAATCTGCTGATTCAGTACTCTATTCACACTGCTAATCTGCAAATCCCATCAAATTCCTCCCCTCCCCTCCTTATCTTTAATCTCCTTTGGAGCTACGTCCTCAGGTATACCAGTGCTACTCTGATCCTGACCTCTTGAGCATCCCCGATTCCATTCGATCAGCTGCGCATTAGCCCGCCCAGTCAACCTTCCTCTAAAGATGTCCCCTGCTTGTATTTTTCTCTAGTTTCTTTCCAATCTTCTCCTATATGTTCTCTGAGTTTCTCTTGTCCAACAGACTGACTTCCTATTCTCTTGGTCCCTCTCCCACTCAACTGCTGACTATCCAATTCCCTCCAGTCCCTATATTAGCTAATATTTGTTAATGGCTGTTCAGGCTTGTCCAACTCCTTTAAATCTGCTGTCATCACCCTTTCCTCAAAAAAACTCAAGCTGGTTTCTGGCCGTAAAATAGTATCAAAAAGTTTCTTGTTAAAATCGTAAATGACACTGCGTTTTTGACCACGGTAACTATCCCACCTTTGCAAACCGTCTGCAGCTTTTTACATGCATGATCATATCGCCTTTCTCCTTGTAATGACAGCATCACACAATGGCTCTCTTCCCATTCTCAGGTTACCACCTCTCATGTTGTTCAAAGATCTATCCTTAGCTCTCTCCTATTTCGCATCTATATACTACACCTCAGTGACATCATCAGAAAGCTCAGTATTAGTTTCCACATGTATGTCGATGACACCCAGCTCTATTTCCTCAATACTGCTTTTGATTCCTCTATTGTTGCTAAATTATCAGGCTGCTTATCGGACATCCAGCATCGACTGAACATCGACTGGATATTTCCTCTAGTTAAATATCGGGAAGACTGAGACCATTGCTTTTGTCTGTTCTTCAAACTCTGTCCCCTAGCTACTGATCCAATTATCAAAGGTCTAAGAAAAAAATCAGTGTATTGCGCAATCTCGGTGGCATGCCTGACTTCAAGATGAGCTTCTGACAACATATTTGTGCCAGGACGGTAGCTGAGTGATTAGCACTGCTGCCTCACAGCCCCAGGGGCCCAGGTTTGATTCCACCCATAGGCCACTGTCTATGTGGAGTTTGCACATTCTCCCTGTGTCTGCGTGGATTTCCTCTGGGTGCTCTGGTTTCCTCCCACAGTCCAAAGATATGCAGGTTAGATGGACTGGCCATGCTAAATTGCCCAGGGATTTGTGGGTTAGATGGATTAGGCATGGGAAATGCAGAGTTATGGGGTTGGGGTAAGTCTGGCTGGGCTGCTCTTCAGAGAGTCAGTGTGGACTCGATGGCCCAAATGGGCTGCTTCTACAATGTAGGAACTACATAATTCTATGATATATTGTGAATAGCTGGAGTCCTAGTACTGATCCCTGCAGTGCCTCACTAGTAACTGCCTGCCATTCAGAAAAAGATCCATTTATTTGGGGCCTGTAGTCGTGGCTTAGTCGTTAAAGCGATGGATTCGAAATCCGTTGGGGATCCCCTGCACAGGCTCGAATCCTGCTGGCTACATTTGGGGTGGCACGATGGCTCAGTGGTTAGCGCTGCTGCCTCACAGTGCCGGGAATCCGGGTTCGATATTATCCTCGGGCATCCGTCTGTGTGGAGTTTGCACATTCTCCCTGTGCTTGTGTGGATTTCCTCTGAGTGTTCCGGTTTCCTCCCACAGTCCAAAGATGTGCTGGCTAGGTGGACTGGCCATGCTAAATTACCCATTGTGTTCAGGGGTGTGTCAATTAGGGGAATGGATCTGAATGGGATGCTCTGAGGGTCGGTGTGGACTTGCTGGGCTGAAGGGCTTGGTTCCACACTGTTGGGAATCTACGATCTATTCCTACTCTTTGTTTCCTTTCTGCTAACCAATTTTCTATCCATCTCAATACACTATGCCCAATCCCATATGCTTTAATGTTCATATGTTCATACTAGTTCTAGTAACAGTAATGCAGAGGAAATTATACATTCCTGCATGAGTATGGAATTACATTAAATTTTTATTCCTTAACTTTTTAAGTACAAAACTTCAAAACTGGTCCTAAACAATGGGTAGAGCTTAAGTAATTGTTTGCAAATATGTGAAGCACTGAAATATTGTCTTACCTCCCAAGACTCTGAACAATCTCCTGCAGTTAGGTAACGGCCACTTTGCACAGCTTGCTTTTTGGAAGTTTTGCCTTCTGGCTAAATACTCCTCAGAGAATAAACTTTTCATGGTGTTATTCAACTCTGTAAAGCAGAGAAGAATAAAAGAAATTAAAAGTTGCTGGTAATGATTAGCTGGGTACATGTAAATGTCAATCTCTGAAGTAGTCAGTGTTAATTAAATTGTCACACAGAGTCCTCAGCCTTAAGTGTGCTGCTGAGGGGAACTGTAGAGTGAAAGGAAGCCATTTTTCAACTGATAGCAAGGGAAAGTCAAAGGAAGATCTACTCAGGGTTATGCTAACATAAGTATTCAGTAGTTTGGAGCAATACTGTGGGAGGATGGGAAAGGTTAGCAATATGGCTTCAATTTCTTTAGGGTTTCCTCGATGGTTTAGATAACAATGAATAACTGACACATGTAGATTCCAGTTCCAATCTTTAGTTTATGCTCACTTGATGGATCTCAGATCAGATGGTAGCAAATCATAGCAGATGGCTTCAGACCCTAACGTTGTGGAGGTGTAGAAGCAAAGTAGCCATTGTTCATCTTCCTTATAACTATCCAGTGACATCTGTTGTCAGTGAAACAGTACTTGACATTGGGACCATATAAGATTAAGCTTGACTGCAATGTCTGCTCACAGTTAAGTAGCTTGCTGACATTCATCATCCAGGGTCATTCATGACGACTGGACAATTTGGAAAATGAATGTGCAACTAGTAATCAAGTGTTCAGGATTGAGAAAGAAAATAAAGAATGTATTCTACACAGATCTTTTAGAATTACCTAAGTTAGTCCCAATAAAGATATACAAAACAAATTTAATGCCCTTGGGCTGATTCTTACATTTTTTTGGTTAAGTGAGAGTTGCGTTGGGTATTTTGGAGGGATTCTCAACCATGAGATCTCTCGCCCTATCTTACCAAATGCATTTCATTAACTGACCAGCTTGACCTTTTGGTGTTCCTCATGTTGTTCCATTTTACCACACTTCATTCTTGGAACAACTTGTCACTCTGCAGATATCTGCTGACAAATCCAGCATCCCTTGTACCTGTGCCTTCTTTAAACAATCTGTTGTGCACCCAGACATTGGCTGTCAGCCAGTATCTGTGAAGAAAAAATCAGAGTCAACGTTTCGGGTCTGGTGACCCTTCCTCAGAAGAATGGTCTGAGGAAGGGTCACCAGACCCAAAACGTTAACTCTGATCTTTTCTTCACAGATGCTGCCAGACCTGCTGACCTTTTCCAGCAAATTCGGTTTTTGTTCCTGATTTACAGCATCTGCAGTTCTTTCGGTTTTTACTGACTGTCATCCTGCGGCTACACTTCACTATACTGCGCCTAACCTTTTCTCTGGACTTGGCCGACAGGTGGAAATTGACACCTTGCTTTTCAAGCAGGGACCTGTCTGTCTTTGTGAATGAGTGGTACAGATGTGGAACTTCCTCTTCCCCCATGTCCAGGAACGGAGGCCATGACATCAGACAATGCCAGCCTGGGCTGAGAGTGCCACATGTTAGAGTAGTCTCAGCAGCTGAACGAAGGCACAGCACTGTATACAATGACATTTTTCATTCCATCGGAGTAAATGCCACCATCTTCTCATCATTCATTCCACCTCTGCTACTGTACCCACTTCCCACCAAGGCTCAGGCTCTACCGTTCTCATTATTACCTGCAACAACTTCCCACATTCGCTGTCACCCGCCTCAACCCCTGACACCGCTAACCTTACCTGCCCTTGCTCGGCCAAAGATCTTGTCAGCCATTCACCTATAAGATTCCACCACAGTCATCTTCAATGGGTTCATGCCCACTGCTAGCCACAGCATCGGAGACAATTATTCCAATGATGGCAAACATCATCTCCTCCATGACTGGCATGCAGCCAAGCCAGACCTAGTTGGTTAGATACTGTTTGGATTGTGTACCATTTTGATCTGTTTTACAAACAATGTATGTCATTAAAAGTCACGCAACGTGTTTGGTTGTGTCACTATTAAATAGTTGGCAACGTGTCTAAACTGTAAGATGCATGTCTTAGGACTGAAGCGCATTCAACATTCAACCCCATTCAATAGCAAGTAGCTATTACAGGCAGCTTGAAGTTTGCATGCAGTCTGCATTGGAAGCAACAGATGCAAATTAATTATGTGCTGTGATACCAGCCCTATCCAATTGTTTGGCCACAGAATTATGCCCAACGTGTCAGTTCTTTGAAAGAGCTTTCCAATTAATCCCACTTTGTCACTCTCTCTCCAAGACATGCAGTTCTTTTTTCCCCTTTTCTGAAAGTATAGTTCAGCAAATTCTACATCAACTTTCAAAAAGAACCAGCAATGTTTTGAAAGTTAATGGAGAATTTGCTGACACTATACTTTCAAGGTGTGCATAAGAGATCATAACAACAGACTGTGTACAACATTTACTCCTAATCTTCTCCATGGTTGTTCAGCCAAATATCCTCAATGAATGCCTTCATTTTACTGAACTACTCCCCAGCAGAAACTCTTTCTCCTTACTTATTGTATTCAAATCCTGTATAATTTTAAACACACACATTAAATTTCCCCTAACCTTCTCTTCACTAAGGAGAACAAACTCATTTTCCCAAGTCTCTTCCCAGAATAACCTATTTCACTAGTTTCTCTGAGTAAGGGAAGTGTCTCACAATTAATTTAGTTCTGGTAAATGTCCTTTGCACCCTCTCCGGGGCACCGATATCATTCCTAAAATGTGGTGCTCAAAATTCAGACACAAGCAGTGATTATATGGGTTTTGCCATCTTCCCTGCTTTCATACAAATGCTTCTATTTATAAAACTCAGAATCCCATTTTTTTCCTCAAAAAAGTAACAGCTCAATAACTATCCTATTACACTGTCCTGGAAGTTTGTATACATTCATCCAAGCACTCCCTTTAAAATTATATAATTTCTTTCATGTTGCCTCTTCTCATTCTGCTCCTTGAAAAGCATTCTATTTCAAACATCCGTTGATGATGACTTATGTGTGTTATTGTTAAACTAGCAGACAAACGGAACATACTCCACCAACTTAAAACTGCAAACCGTGAATTATATGACCGTTCTTATAGTCAAAATATCCTTTGCAGCACAAATATTTTAAGGAATGAACAAGGCAAACATTGGAAAACATACACAGCCAAATTCAACTGTAACGTGAGAACTTTTGTACAGTGACATACTAACTACAAGTATATTGTAATCTGAACTGTATCACTAACTGAACATCAAATACACACCTCAACCCTGGTGGGTACTTGCATTATGGATCAAAATGAAGAGGGATTCAATTCATTAAACAATACTCACATCTTAGGCTTTTCACTCCTTGAATTAACTGTTGTCAATCACTAACAGAAACAACCGAAATTCCTCAATAAAAGTAATTTTGTTTTTGATTAAATTAGAAAATAAAACTCCAAAGGAACAGGTCAAATTCAAGTCATTGTCAATGGTAGAAGTATATTGTTTACAAACTTACATTTTGATGCACATTGTTGGCTACTGGATCAGTTAGGATTAAATTCACTGGAGTTTAGAAGAAAGAGGGGGGCGGGGGTGATCTCATAGAAATCTATAAAATTCTGACAAGACAAGATGGGGTAAACGCAGGAAGGAAGTTTTTGATGACCAGATAGTCCAGGCGTCACAGTCTTAGGATATCAATAGGCCATTTAGGACCGAGAAGAAGAGAAATATCTTTACCCAGAAAGTGGTGAGCCTGTGAGATTCTCTGCCAAAGAAAGCGGTTGAGGTCAAAACATTGAATATTTTCCAGAAAGAGTTGGACGTATTTCATAGGGCTAAATGGACTAAAGGGTATGAGGAGAAGGTGAGAATAGGGTGCTGAGTTGGATGATCAATTATGATTACATTGAATGGCGGAGCAAGTTCAAAGGGCTGAATGACCTACGTCTGCTTCTATTTTCTACAATTTTATTTTCTGATTGACTGAAATGTTATTTGTATTTTAACCTTAAATAAATTAACAAAAATTAATTGATTATTTGCTAACTTTTTCTTATAATGGATCTATGTGAAGCAAAGAAAATATTTCCCAGAAAACAAAATGAAGATGGGAAAATTTTTGTGCCTATTGACAGTAATGGGATGTAGGATGGGCACTCAGTCCAGCTAAGGTGGGGAATCTTCATGTTCCATGAATCCCCATCAGTTTTAAATCTCAAAGACCCAGTCCATCCAACCCTAACATAGTTCTTGGCATTAGAGATGACAGGGATGGGGTAAAGAGGAGGAAATTTCCTCTACCCTGAACTGCAGGATAAACTCAACTTATTGATGACAGTGCAACATGAAGGCTCACTTTGAGAGAGATAGGGGGTGGTTATGCAAGAGCTAGGGGTTGCCATTAGAAGGTCAGTGCCAAAATTGTTTTTGGTCTCTTCCAAAGGGACTCAATTGTGCAGCCATTTGAAGAATTATCCTGAATGTTGGCATTGACTGCATCTCCAGATGCTTTCAAGTGTTGTTTACCCTATATGTAGCTAATTCCCAGGATACATCCATGATAGCACAGATAGTAGGCGATGGATTTTGTATCATTTAACCTTGCCCTGACCGTAGACATTCTACTGGAATCAATGGGTAAAAAGCATGCACTCATAGTACTTTCACTGGTGCATCAGTCCCAAGGGTTTTTAGCACATATACATGTTGAATTTCATGGATGTTCAGAAAAAGATACATTTGATGTCTATAAAATATAAAAGAAATGGTGATTTCTGTCGGATTTCTCTCACCACTCATTTTGGCTTAAAGATATAAACATCCATTGATGACATTGGCTCTACTGACCTTCTGGCAGGATATACAGGATTCTAAAGGGACTTAATAGGGTAAATGCTGAGAGGATGTTTCCCCTTATAGGAGAGTCTAGGACCAGACGGCACAGTCTCAGAATAAAGGGGCACCAATTTGAGACTGAGATGAGGAGAAATTTCTTCTGTTAGAGCGTTGAAAGTCTTTCGAACTCCTTGCCACAGAGAGCTGTGGGAGCAGAGTCACAGTACACTTAAGGCTGAGAAGATAAATTCTTGATGAGTAGGGGAAATCAAGGGTTGTGGGGAAAGGGTAGGAAAGTTGACGTGAGAAATCTCAGATCAGTTGTGATCTTATTGAATAGGGAGCAGGCTTGAGCGGCTGAATGGCCTATTCCTGTTTCTATTTTGTATGGTTTTATAGGATAGGGTGATGTTGATGAGCAAATTTTTATTAGCGTGTTTTGAATTATGGAGGACGAATCTCTGAAAACCACTTCTATTTTATCATGTACCTGTTTGAAAAAAGACTCTTGAGATGACAGTGCGACACAAAGGGCATGGCGTATTTGTGGGGTTGTCCTTCGCAAGGGTCCGAAGACAGGGCTCACAAAAGATGTGATGACATGGATAACACATATATGGACTGAAGAAAATATCCAGACAAACAGCACAAACGTAGCCTTCCTTCTCCCACTTGATTTCATCTTCATCACCTGAAGTGGTCAGATTTGAACTGGAAGTCTGAAAGATAGAAAACCATTTTTTCTTTTAAACACCATATAGAAATATATGAAGGAGTAGCTCTGTATAAAGAACTATAAAAACAAAAATAATGGTAAATTAAGAGCTTATCCAGAGTGAAAATACGCGCGCTGAATGCAGCCCTAAGATATAGTTAGCAAAACCAGTAACTAGGTTAAATTTGCATTTTTTGGCTTATTAACTAAGAACCACTGAGTCAGCATACCTATATTATGAAATTCACAAAACCAAACTTATTCCTATGGTGCAGATGACAAATTCTTCTGGCAAGTTAAATTGCCCCACAATTTTAACTCTTCTACTTGCCGAATTACCGAGTCAATTTCAATTTTGTTGAAGGCATATGCACAACAAACAAAATTCAGGGTGGTTCTGGGATCAGGATGCAGATGACTGATGCTCCCAGGTGCACCTATGCTGGTTGAACAGAAACGAGTTCCCATGAAATCTTGCCATATTATTCAATGGAAATTCAAATGATTTCTCCATATGGCCTTTCTCGCGCAGTGCTAAAGTTCAAGATACATGTGTCAGGTTGCTAATGGTAAGGAATCAAAAGCCATTAAAGTGCTAGTACACTCTAAAGGTAGACAGCTTGGTTTTTGGAGGCTGACACTCCTAGAAATATTCTATTCAGTGAACAGAGTCTGGAGAGCTCAACAAAGGAAATTGCCTGGACAAAGTTGAAATTTTTGCGACAGCGGGCATTACCCCACTACCTACTAATAATTTCCACGAAATGTAGCCTTGCCAGCTTTATCGTTATCCCAAGGACATGGAAGAAAACTGTTGTACATAAAGAACAACAAGTGTTACTAATGGCAAAAATGCTCTCTTAATGGAATGGTCATGAGAACAAATTAACAAAAACGGAACAAAAAGAGATATTGCTGGAAAAGTTCAGCAGGTTTGGCAGCATCTCCGGAGAGAAATCAGAGTTACCATTTAGGGTCCAGGTACCCTTCCTCAGAACTTGAAATGCTGCTACCAGACCTACTAACCTTTTCCAGGAATTTTTGTTTTTCTGATTTCTAGCATCCGCAGTTCTTTCGGTTTTTAACAAAAATGTATCTCCTAACTGAGAAACAATGCCAAAATAAGGAGCAATTATAGGGGTCCACTAAAATTAAAGAGATTGTTGTACAATGCATGCATCAAGTACTGAAGTAATAGTATTCTATATTTGCAAAATGTTGCTTATTTTTAAACTGCTCTGGTTATTTCTAGGATTTTGTTGATGTTAGCATTTACTTGGAGGTAAACGATAACAAGTCCTTAATTCTCTTAAAATTCAATAGGTTTAATTTTAAAACCTGCTACATCAGTCCTTTTCCCTCCTCAGGGTTTTACACTCTTCAGCTCAGAACCTGATTGTGCTAAACGCTACATCCATGTTTTCGATCAAGTGCTGTTTAAAGTTACTGTTAAATACATACCTTATAAGCATTTTTCACCTGTCAACTAAAAGGCCTTAGACTGAGCACTAAGGCATGTTTTTTTCAAATTCATTGACCAGAGGCCAGTTAAGAGTCAAGTGCATTGCTGTGGCTCTGGAGTCGCATGGAGGCCAGACCAGGTAAGGATAGCAGTTCCCTTCCCTGAAGGACATTAGTGAATCAGATGGATTTTTCCTGACTATCAACAATGGATTCATGGTCGTTATAGACTCTTCATTCAAACTGAATTCAAATTCCACCATCTGCCATAGTGAGATTTGAACCTGGGTCCCCAGAACATTACCTGAGTCTCTGGATTAACAGTCCACTGGTAATACCACTAGGCCATCATCTCCTCACAACAGACTATTACAACAGTCTATTTTCAGCATTTCATTTAAATAAATTGGACAATACTATGCCTCAATGAAACAAATTAAGGTGATCTGTTACTGTTCCCAGAAGTCATGTATTTGCAACTGGAACACCCTTCCATGGCATTTATTAACAATGATCTGCAGGGAAGTTACTTGGTGCATTGAGAAAACTGTAAATGCTTTTTTATAGGTGATTTTGAAATGGGTTTGATGTTCATGTGTATACAAAGATGGTAATCATCTGTAACTGAACAATTTTGAAAGTACTAAGAAGGTAAAAGCTTTTGAGTAATTCTATTAACTACTCCTCTACTGACATCTCCACTACTTGGTTTCTAGTTCTCTATCCTACACATTTGAAATTGATGAATTGTCTTAAAGCAGTCATACAAAAATCTATCAGCAAATTGAACAATGGTCATAATCTACTTATTAAATTAATTTCATTATAATGTGTAGACACAAGTATTGAACAGCAGCTTTTCAAAATTTACTCATGGACAACACTGGCTGGGCCAGTGTTTACCTCATATCCTTAGGCACTAGCTAGCCTTTAGAGGTGGCAATAACCTGTCTTTTTGAACTGTTGCAATAAACTTTGCTTAGATACACTCACAATCCTGTCTGGGAGGGAGTTCCAAGATTTTGACACAGTAATTGAAGGAATTGCAATATATTTTCAAATCAACAGTGAGTGGCTTGGAGTGGAATTTGCAGGTGGTGGTCATCCATGTATCTGCTATCCTTATCCATCTAGATGGTAGTGATTGTGGGTTTGAAAGATACTATCTAACAGGCTTCAGTGAATTTTTGCAGTGCATCTTGTAAACAGCACACACTGCTCTTACTGAACGTTGGTGGTGGAGGGTGTGAACATCGGTGGAAAGGATGCCAATCAAGTGGACTGATTTGTCCTGGATGGTATCAAACTTCTTGAGTGTTTCTGGTGCTGCACCCATCCAGGCAAGTGACGAGCATTCTATTGCATGTCTGACTTGTTCCCTCTAGATGGTGAAACTGCTTTGGGGAATCAGGAGGCGAGTTACCTGCTGCAAAATTCCTAGCCTCTGACCTGCTCTTGTAGCCATACTATTTATATGGTTAGTCAGTTCAGCTTCTGGTAATGGTAAGCCTCAGGATGAGCAGCGAACATCTCCTCCTCTGACCTTATGCTGCAGGGAAGATCACTGATGAAGCAGTTGAAGATTGCTGTCCCTAGGACACTGCTCTGACGATCTCCTGCAGAGATGTCCTGGAACTGAGATGACTATCTCCACTTGTCATAACCATCTTCCTTTGTGCTAGGTATGACTTTAATCAGCAGAGAGAATTGCCCCGATTGCAAATGACTCCAGTTTTGCTACAAGTCCTTGATGCCCCACTTGGTCAAATGTGGCCTTGATGTGAAAGGCAGTAACTCTCACCTCATAATCCAATCTGTAATATTGAAAAGGCATGAAGAATAAACAAATTCTCTTCAAGTCTACACAGGAGGTGTTTTGCATTGTACTTAACAATATATTTCAGTTTAATACTGACAGAAGAAGCGAAGTTGAAAAATATTTTATTTGTGGCTTAACATGTAGCTGCATAAAAACAACATATTGGTGCCTTGAGGCTAGTACTTCCAGTCTGTGTAAAATTTTATTGTCAAGATTTGCTTTCAGTAAAAGATTCACGAGTGTTAAAAGTAGAGTCAAATCCACAGAGATCTCTTTATAAGAATACAATTTGCATGTCAAAGGCACACTTGGACACACCAATCCTTGTCCAAATCTGGTTAAAAACAGTTTTGTTTGTGCCAACCTAGGCATTCCCAATACAGACATTTTTTAATGAGATATCATTAACACTGTGAGATATCTATACTTTTGTCTTCCTACTCCATACATAAAATTGCAATGTGCTATTCTAAGGATTCATCGCAGTATGGTTATTATTTCCATGTGTATAGACTGACTCAGAACTGCCACGTTGTTTTATATACTTGTAGTTCTCTGTAGTCTTGTTAGTTTCTGAGCCACAATTCTAGTTCTTTTTTAAGTGAATTAAAAGAGTCTTAAATGGAATTCACTATTATTAACTTGAAGGAAATACCTGTCTGCAAAACAAACAACAATGCATCAAAGAAAGTGAGGATTCTCATGCAATGCTATATTAGGCACTACTTGAAATTATTATATTCACAGGTGGATGTTTAAACCTGTTTATTTTATGTTTTTAAGCAGAGTAACCTTTGCAAAATAAATAGTTTATCACTTATCATAAAGCAGTAATCATCTATTTCAAATGCCATTCAGAGGTAAGGAAAAACGTCAGATTACATAGAATCGAAACACGAGTAAGAAAAATTCCAAAGGATGGACCCACCATCTGGATTAACTAGAGATTTTAAAGAGAGTATCAAACTAAAAGAAAAAGGAAATAATTGTGCAAAGACAAATGGCAGGTCAGAAAACTGGGTGGACATTAAAGAGCAGCATGAATGACCAAAAAATTAATCAAGAGGAAAAGTATTAGAGTACAAGAGAAAGCTAGCCAGAAAGACAAACAAACAGTTAGACTTTATTTAAAGAAAGTTAACAAAGTGAGTGCTTGTTCTAATGAAAGTGAGACTTGTGAAGACCATATCTTTTTAATTTTCTATATTTTTGATTGTGGATGAAATGAGAAAAGGACTTGGGTTAAAAACCAAGAATGGTGGAAAGGATTGATTCAATTTTAAAAAGCAAACTACCAGTACTTATTTTAAGTGCTTTTCACATTGCTGTTTAGCTAGTGGGGAAAGCTGAGTAGCGTATAGGACCAGAAAATGTGTACAAAATGCAATTTGGCTGGCAACAAGTAGCTGATTGGACTGGGACCTATTGTTGATGACAAAGATTTTCTGCCTGCCGACAACTGTATAATTGGCGCATGTGAACGTTTGATTGAGATGCAATGTTCACTCCAAGTTGTGCAGCTGCATGCATCTCCAACATTCTGCACATGGCGACGGGCATGCCAAAGTGGATTGCAGCATTGACTTCTGGTTCTGGAAAATGCTGCCATGCACGGACAATGCAGAAGAAGAAGAAAATTAGGAAGAACATTAGTCAGAAACCATTGGACAGTGAGAGAGCAAGTAGCCACTCCTTACCTGCAGTAAAAACCACCTCAAAAGAAA